CCCGCCCACCAGCATTACTGGCTGGTGGGAATGAAACACCCAAAAGTTTTTTTTTCTAGTTTTAGGGAAATGCGAAAATTAGCTCAGGATAAGAAAGAGTGGAGGTGCGTGTCCAATCAGTCTTAGGACTGACGACCTTATGATGATGATGATGAGTTTAGGATTTTGTTGCCAAATGATTAGAGTGATTGTTTCACTTTATTTTTTTACAAAATATTAGGTACTCACAAATTAATCGCGCTTGTCTACATAACATAGATAAACGAATGTTGTTGTGTAGTAAACGGTGACCCAAATAGTTGCGCACGTAGGAAGTGATGCGAAAATTGGGGCCCAATCGCCTCCTTTTTATACCGTACGGTACTGGATTCCGTCGTGTAGGTACGCGTCTCGCTGCGATCCAACGTATCATTCGTTGTCTCTTCAGCGGTTGCTCGGGCTGGAGCATTCGACCGCGATGGTGATAGAGAATATAAAAGCGAGACTTGCTTGGTAGATTTATTGCGAGAGCGATTTAGTCGGTCCGGCTACTACGCGTCTCCCCCAAAAAACTTTTCTACAATGGAGATCAATGTCCTCGTTTATAATATTCGCACAAGTATAAATAGTGTAACAAATGGAAGGTCGTACTCGGTTCTGCCGGCTTGCCACCGTGCCGATGAGGCACAGAGCGTTGATTTTGTCGACATGAGCAGTACCGTTTTATTTATTAATCAAAGACTATTGACGTATAACTTCAAATTAACACAGCTTAGGTTTTGAAATTAGTTAAATTTTGAGAGAGCATCACTTTTCAACATGAAATTATTTTTTAACAATTAAGCTTTTAATATCATTTATTGAAAGCTATCTCTAACCCGTCTGTTGATTGTTGCGGGTGTGTTGCTGGCCTAGATTTATTCCTAAGGAACGCTTTAACCCTCTTCGATAAAAATTAATTTAACGAAGCCGATATTTTAGGAAATAACGGTCGAATATTTTCTATCTGTGGTCTTCTTAGAATGATAGAACGAGCAATAATAATTAAGGTGATTTTCAACTTTTAATAACTACAACGAATGAACTATTTACGAACTGAATGATTGAACTTAATGCTTGAACGTAATGGCCTTATTACATAGAAAAAATGCTTAAATATATCACAAAATATAGGGGGTGGAGGTAAGTTAGTGGGGTGTTTTTGACCTTAAGCTATGGTTAGTGACTACGTGACTACAATCACAAAATTGTTTGTGGATGGGAAGATCATCGACCCATCTGGTGACCAACGCGAAGGGACGTTACCTGCCGAGGAAAAACCTACATAATATGANCAAAATTAAAATATTTAAAAGTGTATAGGGTGTTCCATTTAAAATAAAAATGTTCGCTATCTGCCAGCAAAAACTGGACATCCTGTAGATTCACGGATAATTTTGAGAAATGACCAATAG